GAACCATAGGTCCTAGGCAGTCTGAATAAGTACAAAGACTAAAGTACAACTTAACTGGCATGAATTACAAAATGTCTCAGAATTGTAATACAAGTGTTATAAATTTATTGTGAAACATTTAAAGTACATTCTCCTGACTCTCGTTTTGTATGGCAAATTGCCTCTTAGAAATAGGGAAAATGTGTTTGTGGGCTTTTTTTTTCCTTTTTTTTCTGTACCTTATCCTTGATTCCAGTCTACTCTACAGAGTTTGAGCTCAGAATGAAGGTGGGAAGGAGTAACTGGGATGGCTGTAAGGGATTGTTCCCCTTACTGTCTGTTCCACTTGCTCTTAGGTTCTTCCTCTCTTTCCTACTGCTCCTCTTCTTAAGCTGACTCAGCTACTGAAGTGATCCAGGCTAGAACCTACACCTGAAATGGCTGTAATCGATGACAGGTCAGAAGACTCAGACTTTGAAAGGCACTGTGACACTGATGCAGAAGACATTCTTATAGCGCATTCAGGAAGCTGAGTCAATTAAGAAAAAGGGAGGAAGAGTTTCGTGATATGATGAAAACTAACTGTACAGAGATGTGTGAAAAGAAAAAGTGGACTGAAATTACAGTAGACACATACCACAGGCTGCCAAGCTGATGTAGGAGAAAGGTGAAATTTGTTTGAACTAAGAGAACCAAAAGAAGATGGAGACAGGTTAAAACAGTAAAGTAGAATAGAAATAAACAGCAAAGTAAAGCAGAGATCCAATATAAGAACAAACGAAATACAGACAAAGAGGAATGTTTTCAGCATTTAGTCTTTGCAGGAAGGTTAAATATGTCACAACCATTACTGAACTGTATTTAAAACAAAAGAAACTAAGAACCAAGATCAGAAAAGGGTAAGAAAGGGTTAAAAGTTGGATGTCATAAGTATTTGGATCTGACAGAATTTACCCAACAGCCATTATAGATTTAGATAAAACTATTTCTGACCATTAGTGTGACAAGTCTTCATAAATCCATCGAGGACGGGCAAGACTCCAGTGTGCTTGAGAAAAGCAATTAAATACCAAACAGGCAAAGAAGGACCTATAGAATTTCAGAAGTAGGTATTAACATGCTGACATTACTAGCTACTCTGTAAGCACTTCTGGTGTTGCATTACACTAAATTAGGCTAAAATCTCCATCTCTTCTACTGCATAGCTTCAACTCCTTGAATCTTGTCTCAACTTAAGATTGTAACAAACTGGGGATCAAAAGCTCTTCCTGGGAAACTGGTATAGCTGAATCTCTCTGGAAGTCTTACTGAAGACTCCTCTTCAGGGTCTTTTTTTATTGGGAGGAAGAGTACCCTCTGCATGTAAAACTACCAGTCAGATGAGAAGTGAACAGCTGTAAACATGACAGCAAGACAAGGTCAGTGTTGTTGCAGGAAGTGGTTATTTTCAAAAAAATAGGTTGGGGGGGTTTAACCGTTTTTAGAAAAATCTTAAAGAAAAGTCCAAGTGGCTTATATTGACACTGCCCCTCCAAGTGTCTCAAGTTTTGCTGCCAGGACTTCCTTGCCTGGTACTGCTTCTCAACTACAAATTCTTTGTCAAGACTGTGTTTCTCCAAAAGACCGTATCTGTTTTGTATTACATAGCCTTGTCAGCTATTTCAGCAAGCTGTGCTCTCTAACCTAGTTCAGGCTCATTCCTTGGCCTCTCTCAATACATCACAGTCACCATAATGTCTCTGCACGACATCTACCTTGGCTAGCTCCCCTGCTGCAATACAGCCTGAAATATTTCTAAACTGAAGTTTCAAAACTGCAAAATCAAATACTTCAGCTAGCACATTTTAAAGAGAATATTTGTCCTTGTTTGGGCTTGCCACTGGATACAGCAGTTAGGATTCAAAGGCTGAAAAAAAAATAACTAAAAGTTGTATAGTTCTGGTCTTTATTCTACACAACACACACAAGCCCATTTGCCAACTCACTCTTAATTGCTGGACTTGTCTGGAGGTAAAAGGCTTTGCAAAGCAAAATAACTATTTAACTTGCAAGTCAAGGCTCAAATTGCAGCAAAAGGAAAAGAAAAACTAAACAGATGTTATTGCTGTAACCAAAGCAGTGACTCCACTAGCCCCAACTATAGATGCAGCTTGATTTCACAGAACCCTGTAAAAATTGAAGATACAATTTTGATAATTGCAAACTATTTCATCATCATAAGAATGCACACCTCTTTGTTTTCTAACTTAATTGCTCTGTAAATAAAACCAGCACTTGCTTTGGGCTAAATCCTCCACTTTTTCCTCAGTCTGAGGAAATGTCTAGTTGCAGAAGAGATGAGATGGCTCACCTGCCAACAGACTCCACACTCCCTTGACAGTGTCAGTGAAGGCCTAGTTGGAATAGGACTGCATAGAACCACCACAAAATCAGAAACAAACGCTCTTTTAAAAAAAAGGAAAAAAGTACAGCACAATTTGTAGCAGCCAGGAGGTTCTTTGAAAACATCAGCTGCATGCTCAATCACAACCCTCTTTCCTTCCTCAAAGCCACAAACAACACCATATACGCTTGGGAAATGAACACCATTACGACACTGTATGCCCACATAAAATATTCAAGATGTCTTTGATAACCTCAAAGGGATTATAGGAAACTGGCAAAGATACAGCAAAATGCAACAATGATGCGCAGCGAAGAACCACCAAATAGACAACATCCTCAATCTCAAATCACTGAATCACTGAGGCTGCAAAGGATCTCTTGAAAGCAACTAGTCCAACCCCTGTGCCCAAGCAAGGCAGGGACCTGTGTCTAGTTTTTTTTTTAATATCTCCATAGATGAGGAGTCTACAATCTCTCTAGGCAACTTGTTCTAGTGTTTGACCACCCTCACAGCAAAAAAAGTGTTTTCTTGTTTTCAGAAGAAGACCAGAGCTGCTCAAGCAAATCTTTCTTTTTTGTACTTGTGAGCCCTGCACTGGACCCAGCAGTCCAGATGTGGTCTCAGTAGTGCTGAGTAGAGGGGTAGGATCATCTCCCTTGACCTGATGGCAACACTCTTCCTAATACAGCCCAGGATGCTATTGTCCTTCTTTGCCAAGAATGTGCACTTCAGCACAGGAATCATGAAAGACAATATGTAAGGTAGATAAATCAGGAGACAAATTATGAATAGATCGGATAAGACTAAGGACAAATTGTTCACTGCCTCATTTAATACAAAAATTAGCCAGGAATGAGATGACAAGTTCAGAAGGGCCAAAGAGATTGTTCTCTCCCAGTGTGTAGTTAAGCCATGCAACTGACTGCTGTAGGTAGCTGGGGATAGTGAAAGTTTGTGTGGGTTCACGCTTGAAGGCTAATGTTGCCAAATTGGAAATTCTTGAGCTGTCAACTGCAGGAGCCTAGGTGCATATTTTGGGAAAGAATCACCACTAGATCATTAGAGGGCAAATACCACGGACACTTTGCTGTTGTCAAGATAAGACAGGGATCTAGACAAACGTTTTACTGATTCCAGATGGCATCTCTTAGGATGAACTGGAAGAGAAGCATGAGTGCATCAGCTGTTTTTCTGAGTCTGTGCCAATACAAGGGACCTATGTAGGAATGCAGATTTCAGCTGTAGCAACTCCAGCTCAACGGGAAATCCTCAGTGGCAGAACTACCACATTTCTCCTTCTAGCAGGAGCTGGAATCCTATGGAAAGCTGCATAAGACCTGTACATATTCCACCAGTCCTGGGGATTCATGAGTGATATGCCATGAACTGCAGAATATTACTTTAGCAAACTGAAACAGCACTCACAGAGTAGTTGAACTGACTGGATTTTGCCTGACAACCCCAGTTTTCCTGGGGACTAGAATTTGGGTTTTGTATGCTTCTCCTTCATTCTGAATGCTTATCATTTAAGGTACATTTAGTTACATGCTGCTTACATACAAACTCCCAATATAAACATACCAGAAGAAACAGCATAACAAAGGGTTAAAAGGCCTGTGTTGACAATTCTCAGAACAGCTGCCAGCAGCAAACTGAGGAACTTATTTATGTAAAGGTCCTGAGGCCTGCACTCTAACACCTCACAGTAGAGATGACTTGCCAGCAGAAGACCCTGCATTCTAACGCGAGGAGACTGTCAAAAAGGCTGCTATCACATAATGTTCATTTTAAAATTACTCCAACAGCAAAATCAGACTCCAGATGTGTATTTCAAACAAGAAAACAGACAATAAACTGCATTGGTCAAACACCTGGACTAAGATTTCTGGAAGATGGTCAGCAAGATCATAACATGAAGGACAATCCATGTAGAACTGACAATGCCTAAAAGTTAAGCGAGGTCTGTCCAAAGTACTAGGTTGCCATCACTGGAAGAACCTGTTTTTAAAGAGAGTGTGAATGCACAAAACCAACTTGTTTGAAGACTTTGTAAATAAGTATCACTTTCTCTTTTCACAGTATTACACACTGAGTTTTATTTTGCTAATTTCCCTAAATGTATATTATTACACAAAAGATAGTGTCAGTACATTGCAGATCCCTGCAAGAAGAAAAATGTTCAGCACACTCAGCCTTTTTCAGTGCTCTGGGCCTATTTCCCACTTGTGTGAAACACTGATATACAACCTGTAAATTTATTTCAAGTAAAATCTATCAATAGGGGGTTTGTGTAGGTTTGTGCAGCAGCGAAGGAAATGAGCTTAAAAAAAAGAAACAACAGAATTTTGCAGTCTAGCAAAAAATGCTTTAACTTTAAAATGTCTACTAAGTTACCATACATTATTCTATAGGACTGTTTACCTTAAAAAAAGAAACAACAGTAATTTCTTACCAGTCTCTTTTGCTGAAGCTGCTCTCTAAGTAATCTGTCTTCTGGCAAAGCATCACATAGAAGAAAATAATTGTCCTGTTCTTCTGTTAAGAGATTAGAAAGTGTGATTAAGGAAAGGAAAGTTGCAGCTGCTTTGAATATTTCTGGCACATAATTTGCTAAACCTTTGGAATGTGTTAAGAATGTAAGAATATGGTTTCTAATCTATAAAAGCAGGTTATTTTAATTTAATAATTTAATGAAACATGCTTCAATATTTGTATATACATACTTATACTGCAGTATAAATACAAAGGTCTTGCATAGCTTTTCCCCACTAACTGCTTTATTCATTTTTATGACGGTTCTTCTGGATACATAAACCAATGATCATTTATATGGGTTACAGAAAAAAAAGTAAGCATGAAAGAAACATGAAATCACCTTTAATTTTATCTTGCATGTGGGACTGTCAGCTATTTCCCTAAGTAACTGTCAGTTTGCAGTAGCTATCATCATTTGGTTTATCCTCCCTCCCCTTGCTCTGACCCATCACATTAACTGTTACCATCAGATCTTGTTTAATCTGCAGATATGTACCACAACTGTCTAGTAACTTACATTGAGAATTGTCTAGTTTAGATTTCTACTTATATGTTTTACACATTTTATGTTTACTACTCTTTTTACTGTTTATGGGCATATCTGATTTAATAAGACAACAAATCCTATTCAAATGAATTACATTAAAATTACTCAGCATGTAAGAAGATACAAAAATGTACAAAAATATTTTGCATTTGAAAGTTACTAATTTATTAATCAATGGGTTATGTGGTTGGTGAACTGTAAAAGACTATTAAATCTATTACAACTTTAAGCTTGCTAGAATTTCAGTCTTACTCATCTTTTCATAGAGAAAGCCTATGTGAAGTAAGACAAACATCCTGATTTCTAAGCTATCAAATTTGAAGGAGATAGCCATTAAAAAATTTGTTAAACAAATAACAAAGTATTCTCATTGTCCTCTGGAAGGCCTATCAATATTTTATAATTCTGGCAAGCTGTGGCATTCAGGTGCTTGATCTGATTTTCAAGCTGAGTGGTAAGTGTCAAAATTTCAGAAGTTATATATATATATATATATATATATGATAAAGAGAAACAGAATTATGATTTTTGGTGTCATTTTCATGTTTTCTAGGACTACTTTTCTTAAATTAATTTGAATAATTAAAAAATTACTTTGATCTATTTTGTACTCAGTTTTCACCTTCCACCCATCTCTGACACCAGCTGCAGGCATTGCTTCCTCTCTTTTAAGGTCTCCATGGAGAATTAAAGATACAGAAAAGCTCTAAAGTTCTAATTTGCTTTTAGGTAAACTATATTATGCTGTTAGAAAAGGGGAAGCCAAAGAAATGCACTAACCACTTCTGAGAAAAACACTTCCTTCGCACAGTCATCACTGTCCGTATATGATGAAAAATCTCACCATGCCAATGCAGCAGAATGGTGATGTGTAGTCCTTGGTCTTGTGTTGGAGCCCAAAAATTGCAGTCTTTGTACCCCTTCTTGTGAAGATGTTGTTTCCTAATACTGTTGGGGCAGTAAGCACTGTGGCAGGGGAAAGGAAGGGTGACTGTGGCCCTGAGATACAGGAACAGTGAGCAGCATCAGTGGGGGTGGTGGACAGGGTGAAGTCAGGAAAGACAGCTCACTGGGAACGTTTCTCATTATTTCTGGAAGGACTATCACCAATTATTTATGCAGTGGGTACCAACACTTCCTCAGCCATGATGTAAGGGACACTGCTTCTAGGCCTTGATTTGTAACTGGCCCCAACTTAGCAGCACATTTAAGCATGCACTGAGCTCATCCCCACTCAGCACAGTGCTGAAGCACGTGTTGCAGTCTTTGGGAAAGGTAAGTTTAAAGAAGTGGTTAAAGAGTTAAATATTTCTTCTGTTGTTTTCTGACCTAGTGTCAGATTATTCACACTTGGCTGATCAAAGCAGCTGTATATGCCAGAAATTATCACATGATCTGGCCATCAGAGAGTAAGAAAGCAGCATACTTACCTAATGGAGCTTCCGAATTTGTTCTTATCACACTACAAAAGTCTGTGATAGGCTGTTCTGCAAATCTCCTCTTCCAGTACAAGATGTAGCTTTAAAAATAAGGGGGAGATGATCAGTGAAAAAGGAAACAACAAAAAAAGTTTAATAAACAGTTGTTCAGCTCTTGGTTTTTTCCATTCTCTAAATTCTTAAATGTTTTGTGTTTCTTTTTTAAATTTCTGTCTCTTTTTTTTTTCCCTTTACATTAGTTTTCAATTTTATGAAATTCATTCAGTTTCACTTAAACTGGGTTTAACCCTGCTGTCAAAGTGAGAACTCAATAAGCAGATTTGCACCAAGCTTTGCATAAACACTGTGACCTATTCACATCTTCAGACAGAAGTGCCACTCAGCTGCATCTTTACTGAAACGATACATTACAGAGCACCCTCAAATTCCCAAAATACTGTATTCTGCAAGATGCAGGCAGGAATCTGAACCTCAGTAAAAACACCGACTTGACAAAAGTGAGGTTTTGGCATGTCTCCTGCGGTGCTACAGTGAAAGCTGCAGCTTGGCAGACAGCAAGAAAGACAGAAAAATGAAGTCCCCAAACACCTGGGGATGGAACAGCAGCCAGAATAAGAAAAACACTAAACACATCTTGAAGGTTTAACCCGTCAACTAACAGGAGTTTAAAAACATTCCGTACTATCATTGTTTGTATTACAGCTGCATCAACAGACCCCAACTGAGAATGGATTTCCACTGAACTTGAAGCTACTGTCTAACCAAGAAGAAATCATCACTTCACTTAAATGATGAAGGGAACCAAGCCGACCTTGTGCTAATTATTCAGAATTTCACTATTAAAAATAATCTGAAAATGTTTGTTTACATTGTATTTATGACTCATGTGTGATATAAATCATGGGAGAGTTGGTAAGGTAAAGGCTATCTATTCAATCAGAGCTTCTTAAGATGTGCCATGAATCAAGAAAAGAATCATTAAAGAAACCAGATATCACTATTATGAGGTCATTTCTAAATAGCTGCAGCTTTTAATACTTGTGCAATCTATAAGTTTACTTGCCACAGCTATCACCTTCCATGGTGGCTCACATTACTTCTCTTTACCATCTAACTTAATACATAAGGACTTCAACCTCTGCAGCCAAGGAATCAGCACACGTTGGTTTCTGCTAACTTTAAAGAAACCAGATATCACTATTATGAGGTCATTTCTAAATAGCTGCAGCTTTTAATACTTGTGCAATCTATAAGTTTACTTGCCACAGCTATCACCTTCCATGGTGGCTCACATTACTTCTCTTTACCATCTAACTTAATACATAAGGACTTCAACCTCTGCAGCCAAGGAATCAGCACACGTTGGTTTCTGCTAACTCTGGAGAGGGATAGGTTCAGCAGACAGATAAGCACAGGAAGCCAGCACGTGTGACTGAAGCTCATCCAGCAGCATCATTAGATGCCAGTGAAAGGTGAGCATTTCCTTGTCCCCCTGCCTATTCCACTGTTTATAAACCACACTGAAACAGTCTGTCCCCTGCACTGAGAAAAATGAACACTGGTACAAATTCACCTAACCAAGTCACCTAACCATAACTGTCTGTGCCATGAACCTTACTGTTTAGGGATTTCATCTGCTAAGACTCAGCACAAATAATCAATGACCAAATAAAACCAATGCCTTGCTATACCTTCAAGGGAGACAGAATGAGTGATCAGTGTCCATGAGTGATCATGTCCAGTCATGCAGCAAAGGCTTATTTCCCTTATCTCTTCCCCTTGCCCCTATGCCAACTTATCTTTATTCTTCAAAGTTAGGAAGTTCCATTAGCACTGGCCATTTCTGGATTCTGCACTTATAGTTTTGTCAAGTGTATTCCTAGGACTGGCTATAACCTATTACTAAGTACAAAAATACTGTTTTCCTGTATTTCCCTCACCTCAGTTCAACACTTCAGATTATACTTCCTTTTTTGTGCATAGCATTAGACTATTTTACTGATATAGCTAATCAGAGAAAGCACACTTCAGAGGAACAGCTCCATCATTTCATGTCTTGGGGCCACTTTCTTTAAGACTTGGCCACCTTCCAACTGCATTAGCAGCAAAAAGAATCTAAGTGGGCATTTTCTTGAAAAGGTGATTTTAAAATACACTTCTATTAATGCAGAATAACTTCCCCAAGCGCACTTAAACTGGCAGTCCATGACTGTGCAGCTCCAATCCCTTTATTTATCTGAATATACCAATATTATCTCCAAAGAATGTAACATTCTTCTTCCAATTGCCTTGCACAAAAGCAAACAAAAACAACTACCAGTTTTCAATTTTAAGCAATGTTAAGCTCATGCATCTGATTAAGGATTTATATGGCTTTCATTTCTCTCCCTAAATTACATCTTCATTATTTTATTTTGTTTTCATCTTGATAGACAAAAGTAAGTTATTGGCTTTGGCTGAGTAACTAATAACAAAGACCTACTAGAAAATTCGTTTTAGATGAGAAATGATGTGCTTTACTAAATAAACCACCTTCTAGTTTGCACACAACTTGTTGATTAGTCACAGAACCTATGTTGTCCCCAGGACACGTCAAAGAATATAACACAGGAATTGCCATGTATTCTAAAATCGACTCCCCTTGTACCAGCTACATGTAGGGGCTGGGGAGTGGGAAGGGAATAGGAAAACAACTTTACAGTCCACCAACAAAGAGCTCATAAAAAAAAAAAAGTAACATAAATCCTCCCAGAACATCTTTTTAAAAAAATGATCTACTTTTCCGAAGATTTCTATAACATCCGCTCACATACACACTCATTTAAAATGACTGAACCCTTACCTTCTAAAATCTGCAACCAGTTTCACATCTGCTATGATGAGCTTGTGTTCAATAATCATGTGCTTCAGGAGCTGGCTTTGTTCTGCTAGGAGATGGCATTCTCCGCAGAAAATACAAGGCACATAGGGAGAACTTTCTACAGCAGCAACACCACCTGGACTTTCTGGCAGAGACAGAGGCTCCAAAATACACTCAGTATCTAAAATAAATAAAAAGAATAATTAATTTTGACTAAGTGAATAAATTTACATCACTTGGAGTACTTTTAGGCAGTATGTACCTGTAAAACCTGTTTGGGTCTCAGTTTTGTTGCATGGATCACTCCAGCAACAAGATGCTCGGAAGTGGGTTGACTGCATTGTTCCCAAGAAGGACAGTGGGAGGTTAGCACAGGACAGTTCTCAACTATGTGCCCCAACTGAAACTTCTACTGACACCAAGTCAGTAGACGTAAGTGCTCTGCTTACTGCTAAAGGAAATTTTATGGTGAGAAACCTACTTTTCTTCCTCTCACTATCTGGTCTATCTGTTGATATGAATAAAGCTATGGCCCTTTTCTGCATTGCTCAGAGTATCAGGAAGGCTTTAGACTGTATAGCACAAACTGTTTTGTATGTTAATTTTCTTAATTATACTTTTATTTATTGCACAATACTTCTATCATTTTCTGACTGCCTCTCAAAGTTCTGTATGCACTTCTCTTGCCTTTTTTTCCCCATTACCATCTCATTTACAGTTCTGTGGCAAAAGAAAAGACAATTCCTGATAGAGACTTACTGCCACACAGAATCTTAAGCACACTGAAACACTTCAGTTGTGTTGAGTTTGTGCTGAGGTTCCACAGTTGGCTATGCCCTATGTGGAAAGATCAATGGCCCATGTTTAAACTATGCTGTACCAGTTAGACACAGGCTGCTCAAGTGACAGCACACAGGTGAGTGGCCACTGTATGTTCTCTAGGTTCACTGCTGTTTGTAGCTCAAGTGTGTGGATTGCACACTACCACAGCAATACTGCAAACAAGCAGACTGACTGTATGTGTGTTCCTCATTTAAACTATAGTGGTGTAAATTTGTAAGTTATTCTACTGGCATAAATTAATGTAATTCATTAAGGAGCACTCACTGTGTAACCAACAGATTTCAACAGCTGGCCCCATTAGCCTAACCAAATTATAGCTGTCCAGAAATAAACCATGGTGTTTGTTTTCCAAACTAAACATACCTCAGCCTTTGGTAAGGGTTTATCTTGGAAGCAAATGCCAATTTCAATAGGCATCTTCAATTTCAGCTACATCAATTTTGGATAGCAAAAGAAGAATAAAAGCAAACAGAAAACAACTCCCCAACTTTCCTGCATTCCTGAGGATGAAAACTAAAAATGTCATAGGTTTCCTTGACTCTTGTGATATGATCTTAGCTTGTGCAGCAAGTGAATAAACTCTGTGCTCCTGGATTCCTGCAATGACATGAACACCTCTGTAGAAAAATGAAATTTCACAGAATCACAGAATGGGTGAGATGGGATGGGACCTCTGGAGGTCAAGCAGGGCCCTCAAGCAGGGCCACCTAGAGCTGATTGCCTGGGACCACGTTCAGATGACTTTTCAGTATCTCCCAGGACAGAGACTCCACAACCTCTCTGGGCAACCTGTGCCAGTGCTCAGACACCCTCACAGTGAAAAAGCATTTCCTAATACTCAGAGGGAACCTCCTGGGTTTCAGTTTTTGAAGATTTATGAAGAATTAAGAAAAAGGCCTTCTCTCACATTTGTTATTTTGTCATGCAGGAATTTTAAAATGGGTACTGTTAAAGGAAGCTTAAATAACAATATTTACTAGACAGGAGAAGCAATGTATGTCAACTTTCACCCTACAAAAACCACACATATATGTTATATATTGGCAAATGCACTAAATCTAATAAATCAGTAACTTCCCCACATGGAATATCTGAAAAATAATTAAAAAAATCATAGTGACTTACCTTTTTTCCTAAGAAAATAAACTAATGGTGCAATGTTCTACCCCATCCTCTATTAAGACTCCGAAATAACCAAAGAAGGGGTGGAGTTTCAGATATAGACCTGGAAGCTCCTGTAAGTTCTGTGAAACGTTTCTGTTCAGGTAAAGGAAGAGGCACAGAGAG